CAACCTTTCTTGATGATTTGGTCGGTACGAAGCTTGTCTCGTCCATGTTGAAGACACGTGATGGATCCATGTCAACCAGCGAAATTGATTGCGACAGCTCCCGGTAGAAAGCCTCAACTGCCGACTTGTCAACCGCATTTCGCGGCTTGCTGAGGGTCTGGGCTTTCGGGGTCTTCAGATCAGAGTGTCGTTGGAGGAATCGTTTCTACCATCCGCTTGTTAGGTTAGTTCCGTTCGTTGTAGCATGCACGACATCAAGATTCTCGTTTGCTTTCTGTACGATTCCACGATAGCCGACAGGCTTCCCATCACGCTCCATGCAGACAATCCAAGTAGCCAGATCTTCTTCGTACTGTCGCGGTAGGATTGGTGCTCGACCGAAATATGTTGGTATTTCGATGATGCCGGGGTCAGCTTTTGCCAAATGCTTCCGAAGCGTCCGCGATGGAATGCCATAGGCCTCGGCAGCAGTTGATGCCATGTGTACTTTGCTTAACACATCGTGGACGGCCTTGTCCATGGTGACCTGCGTGTATGGCGTTCTTGGCGGCATTTTGTCGGTTCAAAATGTAGGTTTAATTTGTCGAGAGGTTGCCTTTTGTCCAATCAGAGTTGATTGGCGTTTTAATTGGATGAAATAAGTTGGCTCGTTAGGTCCATCAATGGTCGGACACGTTAGTTCTTGTTTGTTGTCGGCACGTTGTCTTTACAATGTGGCGTTTAATGGCATTACGAATTTTTGACTTGGATGGTGTACTTGTTAACGTAAACGCTTCCTTGGCCCATGTTGCCAGCTCGGTATACTTCGTAGTAGGATTCCGTACATGCTGCGCGTGTACGAAGTAGCTCGTGCTTGTCAACCAATCATTCGCGACTTCATCTTTCAAAATGATATCACAAATTTGTGCCAATATACACAATAGTATTTTGAATTTTAAAATGCACCGTGAATTTTAACATTATTAGTTTTCAAAAATTATCATCAAACATACTCTGTTTCGATCTAACGTTAGGGGGGAAATCAGTAAGAAAAAGAGATGATATTATTATTGTGCTTTTCACTCGTTTTGGCTACAGTATTCACAGTATAAAACTGGATGTTTGTTACATCGACCACAGTGTTTGTTTTACACTGTTAGATAATCCGTGCCATGATTGGGATGCCACGTACTATATTACAGTAGTACAGTACTTCCTCCCCCGCGATAGTGAGCCCACTAAAACATTTTATCCCACAAAACCTAGCATTTTGAGGTGATCAGCAATAAAATTGTAGAGGCGTTTCAAAATTCAAAACAGACACAAACCACCTGACGAACAAATGCCGTCACAAGCGTCGAGGATCGGGCTGACAATTGAGCAGAAGAAGGCTCAAGTGGAATACTGCATGTCAAAGGGATTGAGTTGCGCCAATGGGTTAAGTCAACCATGCCAGCGTAGCTCAACTCCATGGTGGACGTCGAGGGTATACACCCGACACATAAATCCAAGCAGCAACCCCGCACACCTAAGCTAGAAGCCAAACAAATTAAATGTATTCGGAAATGCGAGGAATGGAGCGTCCCCATTAGGCCCCTAGATAATAATAAAACAATTAAATACGCATATGTTTCGGCGATACACATACAATACTACAGTTTTACTGACCAATTCACCAGACACATCAATCCAAGTTTACATCAGTGAAATTTGTGAGCAATGGCCAAATTTCCAAAAAAACGTCCAAAATATTCAGACAGTGCCACAATGACAAATCCATTGAATGAAACGCAAGCCACGTCAATCATAAGAATGGTAGACGTCAGCTTAAACCGTAGATTATGATTGGCCCTCGCCAAATCGTCCAAGGCGCGAAAACTCATATCATAAATACAATCCTCCTTCACTTTCAATTGTTCACCATGGTTCTCAATGTCGCCGCGATGCTCACACGCTTGGAAGACCAAGCAATCTCCGACCGCGTCTTCCTCGACCAGTGCCTCGACGACTACCCTGAGGTCGCTGAACACCAAGACAACATCCCCGATTCGTCATGTCCGGTCCTGGACAGAGTCAGCAACGACTCCGGCGAAGAAGGCGTACGAGTCATGACGAACTTTACCCGGCGTGAGTTTGACGTGCTCTGGGCCGTGGCGGAGCTCCCACTCAAGGCGCGTTGGAACGACGGCCGCGGGTCCAAATCGAAGACAACACCAATGGACGCCCTCTTCATGACATTGACAGTGCTCAAGCACTACGACACCTGGGAGAAGCACGCGTTGGACTTTGGGTTCAAAGCCCCCACGTTCCAAAAGCTAATTCTCCGAGTTGTCGAAGTGGTGATGCCTGTCTTTTACGCCGAGTTTGTTAAGATGCCCAACATGTCGGCGTTGCGCGCACAAGGCCATACCTTTGGAAACTATCCCTACGCCCTCTACGCTACCGTCGTAAAGTTCCAGTCCACCGAGCGACCGGCCGGACGCCATGGCGAAGCCAAGCCGTACTTTAGTGCGAAGCACAAGTTGTACGGCTTAAAGATTGAAGCGTCCGTCTCCCCCCAAGGCCTTCTTGTGGACATGAGCGAAGCCCACCGTGGAGCCGTTGCGGATCTGACCATCATGCGGTCACGCATGGATCAGCACATTGGAGCCCTAGCCAAGTCGGACAACGAGCTCAGCATCTTGGATCATGGAGAGCAAGTGGACACTTACCGATAAATGTGGGCGCTTCTCGTTGACAAGAGGTACTACGGCGCTTCGGTGGACGTCCGTGCAATTCATCCCAAGAAGAACCCGCCGCGTGGCATGTTGGACCCTGATGACGTCGTGCGGAATCGTCGTGTGTCGTCCGATCGTGTTGTGGTCGAAAACGTTTTCGGTCGTGTCTGCAGCCTGTGGAAGGTATCTTATGCTACTTTCACATAGAGTACCAAGTTCTATGATGAGATTCAGCGTCTCACGTTTGCATTGACGAACTTTCATGTATCGTTGATGCCTCTGTGGGAAGCGGACAGACACTGGTACCGCTCTGTGTTTGCGCGCTATGAGTCTATGGTCCAGGCTACGGCGGCGAAGCGTGCGGAAAGTCAGCGGAAGTCGTGTCTTCGTCGCATGCAACGAATTGCGTTGACAGTGAGTCGTGGTCGTAACCACTCTCATGTTTTCACGTCTCCGTAATTGTCTACTCCAAAAGTTTTGACCTAGAAGTACTTCAAGTATAAAATTGTGAATACAACAGCGGACAGTTTGCTTTGGGTATTAAGATAGTAAACAGGTAGATAACATGATATATACGTGCTAATACCCTTAAACGAGCAGCTAGGAAGGTTTAAAATGCATATTAAAAAGATATAAGGGATTTGAAAGAGTATTTGATGGGTAAAGGGTCCAAGTTACACCTTTTACCCGATTACCCTTGTTTTAATCCGTTTTATACCTAAAAACCACGGTTTTTGCTATTGATTTGTATCCATTTGAAACTCATTTTTTATTCATCGTCGAGGCGTACTTTTATTCTAACACCTGGAACCACGAAGCAAATACCCGAAATGCTCCCCGCTACATCAGATTCTGTGACCGATTTCGGAAATTTGGTGACACTTCGGAAATATACCTGTGTACATTCAGCTCAGTCGCGACATGGATGTTGCTGTGCAACTACTTCGTCAATAATTGTTTCAGTGAGACTCTTTGAATAATCCTGGTCCACCTATACTTTCACGATAGAAGTGACGAACTCGTTTTGCAACCTATTGTAAGTGGGCCGACCATCCTTCCGTGTCAAAGCCATGCAAATCCGTGACGACTTGCTTGCGACCACGACGAGCCCAGCCAGCTCCTTGTTATGAATTTTTCTAATGGTTGGCTCCATCATGTACGAATTGATTGAAAATATGCGTAACCTTTAATGGAACTCAAGTGTACGTTGTCCTTGGCGTGCGTTTCGTCTTTTGCCAGGGTATCAACCCCTTCCTGAATCCGAATTTGATATCCATTGTTGCATCAGAAGCCAATCAGGTGGTGTAAGGTACCTACCCTTTATTTTAATAACTGTCTTTTAAAAACTTATGCGCCAGAAGGGTTCACTATTGCGGGGAGTACTGTATCGTTACAGAATGCAATGGGGTTCCGTGCCACGATCCATGATTGGTAGAAAACAATCACGCCGAAATTTTCAACCAATCGCCTGCAACATTTTTTGACTTTGAGAGGTAACTGGATAAAATCAAGCTTTTTTATTATTTATTATTTTAAAATTATTTTTATTTTTTAATAAAAAAGAAAAAAATACACTGAAATTCTTGATTTTTTTTTCATTTTTAAAGAAATGGCTCGGAACTGTTTTCAGCCTATGGATATTTTCATTTCACTCTTTTAGTTCATTTTCCATCAACACCTATACAAATTCCGATACTGTATGATTTTATTAATAGTGTCATATCCTAGAAAACAACGCATTCTTCTTGTTTCATTGCGTAGTACGTTGGTGGCATGTCCTGTACTACGCGATGAATTATGGATCGTTAGACACCTCCCACAAGCACAACGTCGTGCCTCTGCTCCTTGCTTTCCATCACCACCACATCGTCGTCAAACACACTTGGAGGGCCACCTCGTCGGCGTTGCTGCTTCTTCCTGCGCACCATGTACGCGATTCCCATCAACACGAGCGCACATCCAACGCCACTGGCGAGGCCCACGATGAGACTCACTGGCACGGGGCTCACTGGCACAGGGCTGCTGGGGGTCGAAGCAGCCGCCGGATTGTCCACAGAGGCAACGGCATTCGAAGTCGAAGTGGGACTGAACGAGGCTTGGGTTGGGTTGTCCCAGTTGAGGGCCATGCACAATGGGTTCGAAGTTGCCGTGCAGTCCGTGTCATGTTTGACGAAGAATGTATAGGTGCCACTGGGAGCATCCTTCTTGAGCCCGTTCCCGATGTCGTTGCTGTAATAGCCCAAGTCTTGATGGGACAAAGAAAACGTGACTACTTTCGCTTCGCCCGCAGCCAACGACAACTTGGTGTATCGCTTGAGCAACTTGGTCTCAGCAGTCACGCGGGTGGCTGGAGGTATTCCAAACAGGAGCACAGTTTCTTGCCCATGGATCAACCCCGTGTTCTGAACGGTGACGGAGATCGTGTAGCCGTTGGATTCAGTGGCGCTGTACGTTAAACTGGTTGTGCTGATTGAGACATTCGAGTAGGTGAAACTCGTGTAGCTCAAACCGTCGCCAAACTGCCATTCTGCAGGACAGTCGAACGTGGCCCCATCTTTCACGCAATAAGAGGTGGTGCGCTTGTAATACGGCGTGGCCAGGTTGATGGAGGTTCCCGTCTTGGGGTACGTCATAGCCATCTTCCCACTGGGATTGACCTTGCCCAGCAAAACGTCCACGATGGCTTGGCCTCCGAATTCACATGGCAGACCTGCGAAGATGATTGCGTGGGCGAGCTCCGCCATACCGTTGAGCAGTCGAGGGCGTCCTTCCACCAGCACGAGGATGATCTTTGTGCCGGTGGACTTGAGTGCCTGGACATACGTGAGAAAGCCGGGTGGGAGGGGCTGCTTGTCATCGTTGCCCTTGAATTCTGCATACGCTCGTTCTCCCAGCACGACTACCGCGTACTCGGCTTTGGCGGCCAGTGCCTTTGCAGCTTCCAAATCCCCTGCCTTGCCGTCGTTGTTTACAAGCTGACCGTCCGTGTCAAAGCCATGGTAATACGAAAACTTCTCGGGGCCACCAAGAGTAGTTTCCATCGCCTTGCGCACGGTTGCTCCGAGGGGGAAGACCTGGCTCAGCGACGTTCCTTGCCACAAAAGCGACCAGCCACCGCACATCAACCCAATCGAATCGGCGCTCGAGCCAGTGAGGAAGATGGACGCCGCCTTTTCAGGGGTCAAGGGCAGCACGTTGTCTTGGTTCTTGAGAAGAACCATCGACTCTTGGGCAATCCCTAGCGCAGCGAGCTGGCTGGCTTCGTCCCCCAGTTGGCTCACCACGTCCGCGCCAGGCACGGGTACATCGAACAAGTTCAATTTCAACTTGAGTTTCATGATGCGAATAGCCGACTCGCGCAACCGCGCTTCGGGTAGTCGGTTTTGAGCCACGAGCTGCTTTCCGTTTCGAATGAAGCTGTCGTCGTATGGCACCATGCTGATGTCGTACGAGGTGGTATTCATAGACAGTTCCATTGCCGCCAATGTCGTTTTCACAACGTGGTGCTTGGACATGAGCAAATTGATCTCTTCGAAGTCTGTTACCATGAGCCCTTTGAACCCCAAGTCTCCCCGGAGCAGCCCCTTGTGCATCAACTCGTTTGCGGCCAGAGGTTCTTTGTTCAAAGCAATGAACGTCCCCATGCCGCTCCACACATCCGCCTCCACGGCGGCTTTGAATGGCGGCATGAAGTAGTTGAGGATTTCGTACGAGCTCAGCTCCGAGCTGCCTTGGTCGAGGCCCGAGGTTGGATCGGAGTACGAGATGAAGTGCTTGAAGCAGGCGGCGATCCCTTCCTGTTGAATGTGTTCTATCACGACTTTACCCATGTCGGCCACCACCGTCGGGTCTTCCCCAAAGGTCTCATACACGCGAGGCCAGTGCTTGTGACGTGTTACGTCCAGAGTGGGCCCAAACATCCACGGATTGCCCGCCGCCTTGGTGTCCCTCGCCGATGTACTTGCCCAGGTCTTGGGCCAGCACCGGGTTGAATGTGGCGGCCGTATTGATGCTCTGCGGAAACAGCACTGACCCGTCGACGTACGTGGCGCCGTGGACGGAATCGATGCCGAAAATCATCGGAATGTTATTTCGTTTCATGTGAATCGCTTGTATTTCCGTGAGTTTGGCCCGCCATTCGTCCGTGTTGGCCGTCACGCGGTTGCCCTTTCGCCCCATGGTAATAAAGTTAAAGTACGACCCAACGTTCAGCTGTGCAAACTCGTCGACTTTCGTCGGAGAGTCGGCAGAGCTCAAGTCGATTTGGTTCATTTGCCCAAGAATTTGATCCACCGTCTAACGTGGTCTGGTCAGTTGCGTACTACAAGAGCAGAGCGAGGTGTGTTGCCCTACCATCTTGTCGACCATGTCTTTGGCTTGGGTGTCCAGCTGCGCCTCTGTAAGCTTCTGCGCAGCCACCTTCGCGGCCGAAGCCAAGATAAGCACCAAGCCCACATGCATGGTTGTTGTAAGTGTGAAAGATGCAAAAGTACATATCGCAACATTATTTACCCAAGTCGGGCTTCATTGGTATAGGTAGCATTGCTGATCAGCTTCACATCATGGCCTTCGTCGTTTCGGTGGTCAAATTTTCTACTTGATATTACTACGTAGTACTAGGACAATTTTGTTTTCCCCGTGTATTCTCCACACTGACGTTCAGAAGGCTTGAATACTGTATGTTGTCTTGTCGTGACTAACGACAACCTGTTTCATGTCACTAACAGTTGGTCAAAACTTGCTCTGTCCATTGTCACATAACTTGAGAAAAAACCTAGTTTTATGTATTAATAATTTCTTGTCGCTGATTGCTAATAAGGGTGCGGTAGCATTTCAGAAATAATATTCCATTTTCTCGCAAAATCGGATTAACCAAAATGCCATTTTCAAAATCGGTAAAGGGTCCATTTTGAAATGGCGTTTTGGACTTCTTCAACGACTAAATCCCACGTGGAAGTATTAGATTTGGGTTAAATCTGTAGTCTTTAGGTGACTTGCACCTTACGCTAGACGGTACTTCCGGACCGAGGTAGTAAGTAGAAAGGGCCATTAAAAAGTGCATGAATACTATCCACCTGATATCCCATGGGTGTATCCCAAATTGCTATGGATAGCCCCATCATTCGCGAGCTTGTTTGGTCGTCTTCCACCAAAAGACAAGTTTCTCCTTTTGAATGTTGATCATATATTTGTTGACTTCGGCCGTAAAATGGCGCTTTGGGGCTGAATATTGCAACAATATTTCCGGTTATTCATAGTTCCCTCAAATGTCCATGTCGTTTCTGCGGCTTACTATATTTGGTAAGTAGCGAATGAAATGTCACGGCGACGAGGGTTCAATCTTGGCAAGGGATGTGCACAGGTTTTTGCTATACTCGGTTTTCACTGGCTAACATCGTATGTGGATTTCAACCAATACAAGCACGTCGTGGCGAGCTAAGTCCGCCTGAGGTAGTTAGTTGTATACTTCTACGGGGGTCGCCCGCCAGTACTAAGGTGGTCCCAGCCAATCTCCTCGACCCCACCTCAACCTTTTCCATGACAACCTGCAATCTCAACGGACTCCAAATCAACGGCCACCTAGTGGCACGGAGTCTCAAATCACCACCAGCCTGTGTCGTCTTCCAAGAAACGAAGATGCGCAATGCCAAACAACTCGACACGTTCCACCACCACCTCGACAATGAGGTTGGTGTCGGCACATACACCCTCTACACCAACGATCTTCGGG